CCCTGCCCCACCGAGCCCGCGCGGCCCCAGAGCGCGGCGCTGGAGCGAAGTCCGAGCGCGGACGCGGGTGAGTGCGGGCGGCTGGCCCGCGGGGGGACAGAGACGGGGTCGGTCTCGTCCACGGGGGAAGGGGACAATGGCTGCAGTCCCGGAGACGAAAGGAGCTTCGGCCAGTCCAGGTGTGCTGGGGGGCCCTAGGAGGCCGCTAGCACCCGCGGGCAGGAGGGTGACTGCAGGCCCCCACCAGGAACCCCCCCTGTGCTGAGGCCTAGAGGGCACCAGGACACTGCCCAGTGTGAGGGAGGGCATCCCGCCCCCCGGGGACACCTGGCCGCACACCTGGGGACACCTGGGCCTTCGGCCTCATCTCTGTGACTGCTCAGGCAGCCACGTGTCCTTTGAGAAGCCAGAGTCCCCGACTGTGGCCGTGGGGGGCTTGCTTCTTAGCCTGCCACCTCAGCCCAGAAGGCCGGGCAAGTGGGAGCTGTGAGAGGTGACCCAAAAGCACCCAGTCGCTGGGCCAGGGCCAGAAGAAACGAGATGTGTCGGGGGTGCTGACCTACACCACCTGCGGGCCGGGCCGCAGCAGATGCCACCAGGGGACACAGCCCATGTTCTCTGGGGACATCCTGCAGGCTCCTCTCCCAGCTTCCGTCCAGTTGGCAAGAACAGGTGGCTGCTGAATGGCCCCTCTCGGCCCCCACCCCCCGCCTGGGGAACAGGACCTGCATTATGGCTGGGGGGGGCCCTGGGCTCCCAGAGGCACCGGAGGCCTCCCCAGCCGCTCAGCCTGTTCAGCCCATGATCAGCTCTGCCAGGTGCAGCCTGTCCCCGGCAGCTGTCAGTCCCTTCGCTGCCGCCCCTGCTGTCCGCCCGGCCAGGCCTCTCTCTGGCCCTGTCACTGGCACTTGCAGCTGCAGGGACCCTGGCCTTGCTGGGGAACCGATCCAGCAGCTCTGCTCCCCACTGGGGTGCCCTCTGCACCTGCCAGCCCAGCCTCCCCATCCCTAGGGTGGGGGAGGCTCTGGGGTGTAGCTGGTCCTGAATGTCAGGTCCTGGTTATCCATGAGGCTGGTATTTTGAAATCAGCCCCAGCCGGACACCACCCTGCTGGCCCACTCCTGGCAGCAGTCACACGTGTGGCTGCAGGCCTCGGCCGGGCTCCGGCTACACCTTTGCCAGGCAAACACAGCCCAGACCAGGGGTAAGGCTTGTTTGATTGACAGCTGCCATGCCAGGTGCCAAGTCAGAAGCCCCAAGACCACCCTCTTCCCAGTGAAGCCCCCCAGGGTAAACACGGCCTCCCAAGGCCCAGGCTTCTTCCTCCTGTGGACCAGACCCTCTTCCAGTGCGTTTCCTGCCCCTCCCTGAGCAGTGCCATGACCGTGCACCTCCCACTGCATCTCTGGGCCACGCAGCGCAGCAGGCTGGGACAGGAACGGGCCTGGCTGCTCGGAGTCAGAACCTCTGCCTCGCTCCCTTGGGCCCAGCTCTTGCGTCACCCCTTCCTGAGGGCCAGGCCCCAGGGCGTGGCCTCAGGGTGAGCTGGTGCAGGAGTAGAGCTTGGAGGCTGAGGAAAGGTGCCCTCGTCCACATGCACACCCCTGTTCTGTAGACAGGGAGGCTCTCACCTGGGCCCCCCAGCAACTTCAAGGCTGAACTCTAGGACTCTGCACACCGCCCTTATGCTGCTGTCATTCCCGGCCACCCCACCACCCTGCACCAGCTCCTGTACCACACAGCCGCCTGCCCACTTGACTCTCACGCCTCACCCTTTACCCAGCCTTTGGCCCCCAAGACGTGGCCATGGGAGGTGTAGAAGAGCTGGGCGCAGCCCTGGGGACCTCAGCCCTCTCCAAGGCAGGGAGTGAGGTGGACACGGGCCAGCCACCCTAGGGTGGGACTGGTACAGACTTCCAGGTCATGCAGGGCTGGTGCCAGGCTTGGCATCAGCAGGGTTGCTTTGGGGATCTGGGATGAGCTGGGAGATTGAACAGGAGCAGGCCCAGAGGAAAGCCAGGTCCCTGACTGTCCACTACAGGTGCTGTGACCTGCAGGGCCCCTGAGGTGGGTGTGGGGGATGCCCGGCGGGCCCCGCGTGCCCGAGGGGAGCGTCGGAGGCACACGATCACCAATGGCGTGGACTGTGGCCTGGTGAGAGAGGGGCAGGGCACTGTGGGGCTGTGTGTGTTGGGAGACTAGAGGCCAGGGATCTAGGGGATGCTGACGGGAGCACCGGTCAGTTCTAGAGACCTTGGTCCCCTGAGGAGCTGGCCAAGGCCCAGCAGAGAGAAGCCATGACGTCCTGACCTTGGCCCGGTCCACCCTGGGACAGGGGTGCCGAGTCAGGGTTCGGGTCACTTTTCCCCCTGGGGAAATTGAGTAGGGGGCCAACAGGATCCCCAGATGGGCCATGTGGCTGTGCCTCTGTCTGACGGTGGCTTGTGGTGCCTGTCACTCGTGCTCATGGTGTGTGTGCCCCATGTGCGCGGGCCGCAGCTGAAGCAGGTGAAGGAGCTGGAGCAGGAGCAGGAGGTGCTGCTGCAGGGCCTGGAGATGATGGCACGCGGCCGAGACTGGTACCAGCAGCAGCTGCAGCGGGTGCAGGAGCGCCAGCGCCGCCTGGGCCAGAGCAGAGCGGGCGCTGTGAGTGCTGGGGCTGGGGTTCCCAGGGCTCCCCCTGGGCTCTGGGCACCCATGGGGGGCAGCTGCGGGGACCGTTCATGGCCCTGTGCTCCCTGGCTTTTCTGCAGGACTTCGGGGCTGCCGGGAGCCCCCGCCCGCTGGGCCGCCTGCTGCCCAAGGTGCAGGAAGTGGCACGGTGCCTGGGGGAGCTGCTGGCTGCTGCCTGTGCCGGCACGGTGAGCGCCCCCACCCCCTGGCACCCTTGTCCCCAAGACCACATCCCAGAGAGGCCCGGCTGACATCACTCCTCCCGCAGGGCACCTGCCCGGCCCCCACCTTGTCCTCAGCCCCCAGCTGGCAGCAGCAGACCATCCTCATGCTGAAGGAGCAGAACCGACTCCTCACCCAGGTGAGATGCGGGCAGGGGGCCCTGGGCCCCGGCTCCAGCAGGCCCTGACCGCCCACCCGCCCACCCACCCAGGAGGTGACCGACAAAAGCGAGCGGATCACACAGCTGGAGCAGGAGAAGTCGGCGCTCATCAAGCAGCTGTTCGAGGCCCGCGCTCTCAGCCAGCAGGAGGCAGGGCCCCTGGACTCCACCTTCATCTAGCCTGATGGAGAAGCCTCAGCCAGCTGGGGACCTGGAGGAGCCCCACCTCTGCTTGCAGCCTGGGCTTCCTGACCGGGATGCCACCCGCTGCTGGCCTCGGGCTGTGACCTGAGTGGGGTGACAGCCGAAGCTGCTCCTGCCACTGTCAGTGGACAGTGGGGGACCCCTCTTCTGCCTCCCAGATCTCAGGCATCCCTGGAGAGAGAGAGGGCATGTTGACAGCTCTCCTGTCCCCTCCTGCGGTGACCCTGGAGTCCCTGGTCCTTAGGAAAAGTGGTCACCCCAGGCTCCATTTCCAATAATGGCCAGCAGAGGGCGACAAGGGAGCAGTGGCCCCTGACCTGCAGCCATTGTGTGAGGGGCAGGGTGCACCCAGGGGTCCAGGGTCAGATCCCTTCCCTCAACCAGGGTCCTAAGACATGGTGTCTGTGGCTCAGATGGGAGCAGACTGGGCGTGGGGTGCCCTGCAGGCACAGCTTGGCCTGTTGGGGGAGCCCAGGATGGGGCCAGGGCTGGGAAGGGGTCCTGGCCAGTGCTAGGAAGGGGCTGGGCTTCGCTTGCCTGCCTCCTGCAGATCCCAGGCCCTAAGAGGACATGGCTTTGGGGTGCTTTTCTTTCTTTTTGCCTCATTTTTCTTTTTTTATAGTACTGGAGATTGAACCCAAGGGTTTTGCACTAAGCTGCATCCCCAGCACTTTTTAATTTTGATATAGAGTCTTGCACATTGTCCAGGCTTGGCTGGGACTTGCAGTCTGTCGGCTCCCCTTCAAAATGCTGGGATTACAGGGTGCACCACCACACCTGTCTTTGCTTTTTTTTTTTTTTTTTTTTTTTGAGGCAGGGTTTTGCCCTGTAGTCCAGGCTAGCCTTCAAACTGGTCATGTAGCTCAGGCAATCTTCCTGACTCAGCCTCCTGAGTGCTACAATTACAGCACTGGTCACCATGTCCTGGGCCCCCAGTGAGATGTGGGCAGAGCCTTCCCCACACACTGCTCTTGCAAGATTCCAGGGATTGGGGAGCTGATCCCTCGGTCCTGGGGTAGGCAAGGGGAAAGAGCCATGGGGCACAGGAGGAGACCGGGTGTGCCTGGCAGGCTGGGTGGGGGAGGCGCCCCCACTTGGCCCAGCCTGCTGGTCCCAGGCTCAGTTCCACAAGATCCACCATTATTGGTGGAGTCACCGTGGACCCTGTGGCGCGGCCTCTGACAGGGTCCAGCCGCTTCCTGTTGTTCTCAGATCTTCTCAGATAAACCTGGTGTTTCCACATAGTCACAGTGATATGTTCTTGTCAAAACCACATCTGCCCATGCATTTAATTTGGTTTTCTCTCAGGTCCAAAGGACAGTTTCTACTTGTCTATTTTCCAATTGTTTGGTTTTTTTTTTCTTTTTTCTTTTTTTTCTTTGGCTTTTTGAGACAGGGTCTCACTATGCAGTTCAGGCTGGCCTCAAACTCACAATGATCCTCTTGCCTCAGCCTCCCCAGTGCTGGGATTACAGGCATACGCCACCATGCCCGGCTACATTTTCCAATTGTACCTATGCTTTCTGGTTTTGAATTCTCAGAGTCATGCATAACTGAGCGGAGCCCAGCTCCCTGCTGTCCTGGGCTGCAGGGCGCCCCAGCCTGGTAGGTGCACCAGGGCCTCCCCATCCGCCAGGTCCACGCAGGCTAGTCCCTGCATCTCCCTCCCTGGGACAGCGTCCCCTCTGCCCACCAGGTCTGGGGCCACCGACTGGCCCTTCAGGCTCTGCAGACAGCTGCGATGTTTCCAGTGCCGAGGGCTGACTGTGTCCTCCAGGCTCCTCTGTCAGGGCAGATGGCATGTAGGGGGTCCCGCCTCAGAAGACTGCACCAAGCCGCTGCCCGCCCTGTGCCCACAACACGCCTCAATCCCTCTGCACCCTGCCCGCCAGCTCTATGGCCACTCCCCGGATAGGGCCCTGTGCACTGCTGAGTAGCGCCCAGGTGGCCGGCTTGTTTCTCATGCGCGGCACCCTCCAGGCCTAGAGGGTCTGCCCCAGGGTGACATTCCTGAGACCTCCAGGCGACACTGGACCTTCAGCTGAAGAGCAGATGGCACAAACTGATGGGGCAGCAGTGACTTGAGAGTACAGCCCCACTTGGCTGGCGTTTCATGCAGAGTGAGGGAAGTGTGTCATGTGTGGTGGTGCATGTGTGATTCCAGCACTACAGGAGGCTGAAGCAGGAGGATTGCAAGTTCAAGCCCAATCTGGGCAACTTAGCAAAACTGTCTCAAAATTTAAAAAGTAAGGGCTGGCAATATAGGTCACTGAAGGTGCTATATTCAGTCCCTAGTCACACACACGCGCGCGCGCACACACACACACAAACACACACATGTGTCCCCCGGTGTGCACCCTGGCTGCAGGCCGCCAGTGTGGCCCTGAGCGCCCTGATGGAGAACGCAGAATCCCAGCTGGAGGGCTCAGGCGGGCTGAGGCCCCTGCATGCTCTCTGGGACACCTGGGGGTGTCCACCCCAGGCTGTCTTATTGCTGGGGGATGTGGGCAGTGTCTCTGGACTCCCAATGGCAGTCCTCGGGCACCCTTAGCCTGACCACCAGAAATGCCTGGGAACCCAGCTCAGTGTCCCTGGTGGGGACATGTGGCTCTAGTGACGCCTGACTTCACCGCCCTGGAGGGTTTGGTGTGGGGCAAAAGCCAGGATGTGAGCATCCCGGGTAAGAAAAGACCGCAGGAGCAGCGGGCTCTGCAGGTGGCTGGGCCAGGAGCGGCCCCAGGACATAGGAACCTGTACCTAAGGAAATAAAGCAGGTTCTTGAGAACAGGAATGAGGAATGGTCCTCGTGTTCCATGGAGCAGTAGAACCCGTGGAGGTATAAAGACTGCCAGTCACGTAAGAAAAAGGATCGAGTTGAACTTCTAGAAACAAAAATAACGTAATTGGAATGACGTGTTCGATAAGTGGAATAAATATGACATGGAAAAGTGGAGCGCAGCTGACAAGAGAGTTAGGGATTGGAAGAGGGCGGTCAGGGGATTGCCAAGCATAGCCGAGGGCTGGACGCACAGGACCCGAGGACAGGAGGCACACGCAGACCCATCCTGTGAAGGGTTTTGGATTGTGTAGAAGAGTCAGTCCAGGCACACTGACAAATCCCAGGATGACCGAAGGAAAAAATGGCTGGGTGCAGAGGTGCCCACCTGCAATCCCAGCACTCAGGGAGGCCGAGACGGGAGGATTGCAAATTCCAGTCCAAGCCGGGCAAGTGAATGACAGCAATACCCTGTTTTAAAACCTAAAGAAATAAAAAGGTCTGGGGATACGTCTCAGTGTGAAGATCCTGGGTTCAGTCCCCAGGACCACAAAAGGGGGGTGCACTTTCTTTTAGGAGATGGTAAAATAATTCACAGGTGGAAAATGAATCACCTACGAAGAAACAACCCACTAAGAGCCCAGGCAATATAATTATTAGCCTCAAAGTCCATACCCAAGCCAGGCGTGGTGGTGTACCCCTATAATCCTAGCACTCGGGAGGCTGAGGCAGGAGGATCATTGCAAGTTCAAGACCAGCCTGGGCTACAAAGTGAGCTCAAGGCCAATCTGAACTACATAGTGAGATCCTGTCTCAAAAAGACAAAAAAAAAAAGTCCATATCCACCAAAGCTATTTTTGAAGAATGAAGACAAAAATAAAATATTTGCAAACAAAAATTGACAGTTTACCGCCAAAAGAACTTCACAAAAGGAACCTGCCGAGGAGAAAGGAAAGAAAGACAAGGATCAAAAAGGCAGGGTGCTGGGCATGGTGGCACTTGTCTGTAATCCCAGCACTCGGGAGGCTGAGGCAAGAGGATCATCGTGAGTTCAGGCCAATCTGGGCTACAAAGAGACCCTGTCTCAAAAAAGAAAAAAACAACAAAACACAGGGTGGCTGTCCACCGTGGTCTGACAACCACACCCAGGCCTGCACTGAGCGCAGCAGCTACCCGTGTGCAGCTCCCGCAAGTCAGGAGTTTGGGAGCCCTGCACTGAGAGCTTCTGACTGGGTGTCGTGGGGTAACTGCAGGGCCGCTGTCAACGCAGCTGGCTGCACGCATGGCTGCCGGGCGGACCTCAGCTCCCGGCCTGTCGGGCGCTCTCCTGCATGGTGGCAGCTGCCAGGGCGGGGGAAGCCACCTACCTTTTATGGCCGTGTCCCAGGGCACTTCTGAAATAGGCTGCACTAGAGGCCAGGAGCAAAGTCCAGGCCTCCAGGCCTTGCCCTTTCACGGAAGAGGACTTGGGTAATCTGTGGTCAGGTCTTACAACCGTGAGAAGAGCTAAGCGAACTTTAACAGCGGTGCTCACTGTGGGACAAAAACAGAATGGAAATAAAACTCGGCCGATAATGGCACATACTGGACAGGAGTGACATCACCCTGAGACCTAAGGTCTCTAACGGTTCACAAGCAGGAGAAACATATCAGCTACCTTTGACTTCAAGTATGCCTGTCACAGTACCTAGAAGAACCAAGTAAAGCAATAGCCACAGAGTGTCCACCACCCAAAGAGGGCCAGGGGCGTGGACAAAAGGAGGAAGAAATTCAACATGCAGAAGAAACTGTCAATTCAGAGCTGGGTGTGGTGGTGCACAGCTGTCGTCCCAGCACGCCGGGGAGCTGAGGCAGGAGGATTGCAAGTTTGAACCCAGTCTGGACAGTTTAGTGACTTTGTGTGACCCATCTCAGAATTAAAAAGGTTTGAGGATGGGACTCAACGCAAAGTTCCTGCGTTTAATCCTAATATTGAAAGAAGTCAGGAAACATAATAAAATGGTAGAAGTGCATCAGTATTCACAACTGTGCACATAAAGTCAATAGTTAAAAGACAAAGTTGCCAGACTGGATTTGTAGTGATTCAGGTGAAGCCGTTTCAAGGGATGTACCTGGAACCAAAGGCTTGAGCAGATCTGGAGGCATGCGATCTTGTGGATCATAACTTGGGTGCGAACTGGTAACAGGAAGCGATAGCAGCCCCGAGGTGGGGCTGCCTCTGAACACGAACACGGCCCTCGAGCAAGACTCGGCTCTCTCCCCAGAGGTCTGAGCGCGGCAGGTACACAGGACAGGCGTTCGCGGCACAGCGGCCAAGAGGAGCGCACAGACATTCGGCTGTGTGGTGGTGGCTGCGGGAGGCTGCAGAGACGGCTGGTCCCTCCCCTGCTGTGGGCACATAAGTGGCAGTGCTTCAGCAACAGTGTGAGGACGGCCGCCCGCCCGCCTGAGGCAGACCCGGGCCTGCGGGGCTTGAGGGGCGAGTGTCCTGGCGGCAGCGGGACAGGAGGGGCTCTGCTCTGCAGAGTAAGGTGGCCTCACTAGCTGGGATGTCCTGCGCTCTCCCAGAATGGGCTCCAGGTCCAGCATCGGTTACTACACAGTCTGGGCCAGGTGCAGGGCAACTGTGGGAGCCTGGGGCAGGAAGAGCGCAGGTTTGCACCCATCATGAACAGCTTACAGACTGAGCAGAACTTGTCTCAAAGTAAAAAATATAAAGGACCAGGGCTGGGGAGAGAGACTGGGTGTCCATGGCAGGCACACCCCTCTCAGCCACTACTGACTTTTACCCTTGGGGTGTGGCATGCTGGCTGGGTCACCCACAAACAAAATGGCAGCTGCGTGCAAGATGGCTGCGGGGACATCAAGGTATGTCCCTGACACAGCCCCTGTGGAAGGCGGTGTGCTGACTGCTTTCAAATCTCAGATCAGCTTGCCACATAGGTGTTTAATGGTACGCGTCAGCGCACCAGTTACTGGGTCAACCACAGTTTCAGTGCTGCTGTGGAGACTTAAAGAAGTGATAACATGCAGTCAGGTGACTGTGGGTAAAGCAGATTTCCTTCCCCTCCCTCGTAGCTGAGGGCTGGGAGGAGACTGAGGTCCCCAGCAGGAAGGAGTCCAGCCTCAGCATGGCCTTTGGACCAAGTCTGAACATGGCTTCGGCCTCACCCGCCTCCTGCTCTGAAGTGCAGACTTGAACTCCAGCTCCCTCGGGGGCGAGCCAGGCCCTGCACATAGACGCCTCCTCCCCCAGCTCGCTCCCTTTCTCTGGAAAATTGACTAATCCATCATCTAATGGTGCTCCAGAGAAATGAGCTATTTTCATCTAGGAACATGGATATTCATAGCAGTGCATATATTTTGTGCAACAGGAAACTATGACGACACCTCTCTCAGGGTGACTGGCCAGACCCCAGCACGAAGCCTCTTCCTGGAATATTACTCAGCACAGAAAAGGAGGGGGTAACACCATGTGTGGACCGCCAGGAAATCCTGGGGGGCAAAATCTAATCTCAGCATACATAATCACTTTCAAATGATCAGTGCTGCACACCATGCAAGACCTTATTTCTCTAACAGTCATGAGATACACAACTATAGAGAGGGAAGCTGAGGGCGGCGGGTGCCAAGGATTAGGAGCAGGGCAGGAGGGACGAGTGGGTGGTGCATGGGGCCTCCAGCGCCGGAGGCTGCGCGTCGCAGCGGGGACGGGATTTCCGAGCCTGAGTGAAGCGGGAGGAGCCCCTGGAGGTCCAGAGTGGGGACGGTTGGGCGTGGGGCTATGTGCACGAGGCCCTGCAACCGCGCATGCGTCGCTGCAACCGCCCGCATACCTACAATCAGCTCAGAACTTACAGATGGGGTGAAACGTACATTTAAGTACCCAAGAGCGCTCCAGCGCAGTGGGGAAAGAAAGAGCAGTCCACCTGCGCCCGCGGTAGGTGACAGGCTGGGCGGGAGGGCAGGCGACGCTTCCGGAGGTGAAGGGAGCCCAGGTCGCCGGACAGGCCCTGGGCGGAGCCAGCATCAGAGAAGGCGGTGGCAGGCAGGGGCGGGGCAGAAACCATCAGGAGGGGTGCGAGAGCCCAGCCTGCCGGGCCACACCCCACTTCTGCGACTGGACTCGCAGGCTAGAGGAGAGGTCTCAACCGGACAAAAGAGAAGTGTACTTGAAGAGAGCCCCTCCGAAAGCGAGGCTGGAGGGAGGTTTCATAGCCTAAGACTCAACCAGGACAGGGCAGCCCGGAGCCAGTGAATTAACCATTAAACTCCAGGAGCCGGTACAAGAAAAAGAAGGAAACATTTTTTTTCCAGTACTGGAAGTTGGACCCAGGGCCTCACTTTGAGCTATATCCTCAGCCCCTCCCACCTTTTAATTTTTTTTTTTTTTAATAGAGTCTTGTTAAATTGTCTGGGGTAGGCTCAAATCCTCCTGCCTCAGCCTCCTGATTGTTGGGATTACTGCGTGCAATGCCCGGCCCAGGTGAGTGTGCTTTTTAAGTAGATGTCATCTAGCAGATCCCTTTCTTCATGCTGGGCAACAGCCAAACAAAACAGATACAAAAGTTACCGCTTGTGGGTGTTTTGCAGAGCTAGGAAGGCCAAGGTGTACACGAGTGAGACAGACGTGGAGAAAGACAAACCCCTGGCGAGGAAGCCGGTGAAATACACAAGTATGGCTTACTTGGTCTAGGACAGAGATAAAGCACACACGCAAGATATTAGGAAGAAAATGTCTACGTGTGCTGAGGAGACTACAGACACTGGGAGGAGATTTCAGACAAGATCATGCTGATCCACTTGGAATGGACCAGTTCCTAGAAAAATGTAAACGGACTCAGAAGAGCTAGAAGTCTTGGGCCCCGCAATGAGGAGGAGGAGGAAGTGCTGGTTTAAAGGGAGCTGTCAGGCCTCGGTGTTTTCAGGCACATTCTGCCGTACCCTCGAGCAGCAGGTAACCCAGACGCGAGGTGTGCTTTCCAGAGGGGCATTTGTGAGGCGGGCATGACCTTGACATCAAAGGCAGAGAAGGACAGATGCTGTCCCACCTGGCAAAGTATAAATCGAGACAACTCTTCATGAATGACTCAGATTAACCCGGAAGCATGCAGTGAGCCTAGCATTGTATTTTTTTATTTATTGTATTTTTTGGTACTGGGAATGGAACTCAGGACCTCACATTTGCAAGGCAAGTGCTGTGCCGATGAGCTACATCCCTTCCCCGGGACTTTAAGATATACTTTAATGAGTTATATTGACGGATTGAAGAGGAGAATGTGTAGAGCTGCTCAGAGGTGCAGAGAAAGCATTCTGTGAAACTCAGTATCTGGAATATTATTCAGGGGTAAAAAGAAATGAGCTGGCATGAGAAGGGAACAACACACATGACTAAGCGGAAGTCGCAGCGTGAACAGGCTGAAAACCCGGATCTCCACTCTGACGTCTGGAAGGAGCAGAGCTGAGGACAGAAGTGGCTGTCAGGCTGCTGGGGACGGAGGGGGAGCTCAGGGCTGTGGCTGTGATGAGGGCCACTCCACTGCACGGGGGTTCCAACCTGCAGAACGCACATCAGCAAGGGCGAGCCGTCACCGCGGGCTCAGGGCCACTGACTGGCCAGTGTCCCCAGTGGTGGGGGCATGGGGGTGTTGGGAGACCCCTGCCTTCTGCTCTGTTTTGAGAACCTGAATCTGCTGTAGAAAAATTAAAACCAACTCTTCCTACTAATTCAAGTCTACTTTTTAAAGGGGGTATTGGGAATTGAACTCAGGACCTTCTGCTTACTAGGCAGGTGCCATGCCACTGAGCTATGTCACCAGTCCTATTTCTGTTTATTTTTAAAAGATTTTTTTTTTTTTTTGGTACCGGGGATCGAACTCAGGACGTTGCACTTGGCAGGCAGGTGCTTGTGCCGCTGAGCTATATCCCTGGCCCTAAAAGAATTTTTGGTTTATTTTGTTTGTTTTTTGGTACCGGGAATCAAACTCGGGATCTTGCCCTTGCAAGTAGGTGCTTGTACCACTGAGCTGTATCCCTGGCCCCCCTTAAAAAATTTTTTGGAAAGTAAGAATTTACTAAAAAATTCCATGACAAACACGATGAATGGTAAAATGTTGAAAGCATTCTCTTTTATGATCAGGAATAAAGTAGCAATCTGCTTATGATCACTTGTATTGAAAATCTTCCTGATGGTGTTAGAGTCATTAAGACTTTCAACAAAGTGGTAGTTTAAAAATTACTTTTAGGTTAAAAAGCCCATTAAATTTCTTTTTTGGGGTGTGTATGTGTGTGTGTGTGTGTTGAGACAGGGTCTCACTATGCAGTCCAGGCTAGCCCTGAACTTGCTATGTAGCCAGGCTGCCCTTAAACTAGAGGCAATCTGCCTGCCTCAGTCTCCCGAGTGCTGGGATTACAGGCCTGGGCCACCACGCCTGATTCCTGGGAAAATGTTTAAGACCTAAAAGAAAGGCTACATACATGGAGAAACAAGGCATGATTTCAGATAAAGACTTGATACATGGAAGTGAACCATGCTTTCAGATAAAGACTCTGTACTGTAGAGATGTCCACCTCCCCGGTCGGTGCAGAGGCGATGTCATTCCAGCTGGAATCTCAAGCAGGCTCCACGAACCTGGTGAGCTGGTTCCAACACGTCTGTGCAAGAGCAAAAGGCTTGGAACAGCCCAAGAATCCAGACAAGGCGTCGAGAGGAAGCCTCCCTAGATCTGGATGTGCCAAGGTTCTGGAGATGAGGGTGGCCGTGTGGGGCCAGGTGAGCCCGAGCTGAGGTGGTGGTGGGGTAAGTGGACCGCGCGCCCAGTATCCCCAGGTCCTGTTCATTGATGAGCAGTGGTGCCCCCACCCCCTAGTTTGCTACCAGATCTTTTCCTTTTCTCCTACACACAGATGTCACTGCCAGGGGCCGCAGGCCTGCAGACAAGAATCACAGCCATTGGGAGCACAGCTGTGGCCGTGTGTGCATTACTCACTGCCAGCCTGGCCAGTGAGCTCCGGCCCAGAGGACCCAGCATCCAGATGGTGAGCTGCACGGTCCCATGGCCAGTCTTCAGCCCCGCGTGCATGTTACCAGGGCCGGATAAACAGTCCTGGAAAAAGGAGGACAGGGCGGCCGGTGGTCATAGAAGAGGAAGAGGCACCGATCTCTTCTGTGGCTGAGGAGAGGCCTGCGGAGGCCTGAAGGAGCCCTTTCGCTCTAGGTGGTCGCCACAGCCGAGATGGTGAATGAGCACACGACAGATGGGACACACGTGCACCACAGCAGCAGCTGCGCCGCCCAGTGCCCCGGAGAAACACTCACGAGCGTGCAAAGGCTCTGGCAGCAACCAGAAAAGCCGAGGCCAGACACATGCTGGGCACACCCTCTGCGGTGGGACCAGTGCCTTTGCTGCAGTCACACGGGAACTGGCCGGTGACGGGAACCACAACTACACCTTCAAATGTCAACAGAGCCAGCTCAAAAATGCAAGGGGAGCCAGATGGGGTGGTGCACAACTGTAATCCTAGCTCCTCCGGGGCAGGAGAATCCCAAATTTGAGGTCAGACTGGGCAACTTAGCAAGACTGAGCTTAAAAAACAAAAGCAACATATATGTAAGGCGTAAGCTACTGAAGGATGTGTGCGGTGTATCATTCAAAACGAGGACACAAGCCTGGCGTGGTGGTGCAGGCCTATAATCCCAGCCCTCAGGAGGCTGAGGCAGGCAGACTGCCTCTAGTTTAAGGGCAGCCTGGACTACAAAGTGATCTCAAGGCCAGCCTGAAATACATAGTGAGACCCTGTCTCAAAAAGAAACAAAAAACACTATAAAGAAAAGCAAGGCAGAAGAAACCCCAGGCCAGTGGGTTCCTGTGACGGGGCTGGGGAGCAGGTTCTGCACACAAATGCCAGCAGTCTGTCCTTCTGTCCTTGTCTCTATGGACCGCAGCGGGCCCTACCCACCAGCCTGACGTCCACATCCACTACATTTCCCAAGGCCCCACCCACACCTTGGAGTTCACCAGTATCTCTTACTCCTGTGTGTACGGTCCTGGCTTCCAGGAGGTGCTAAGTGAGGGTTTGTTGTAGGACTGAATAAGGCTGTGAAGAATGGAATCCTTCCCAGTTCTGGTGGACACTGCGATGCTGTGACCTCTGCTGGGGAGACTGAGGCCAGGGCAGCCAAGATTCCCACCAGCTCAGCAATTAGCACCTCCCTGGGAGGCCTACATGTTGAGGAGGGAGGCGCTGCACCCACACTCCTTCCTCCAGGCCTGGGCCAAGCCACATGCTGCACATCTGGGGCCCCCACCCCCACTGGGGTTCCCGGAGGCTGGCCACACCCCCAGCTCCTGCCAGCTTCCTGCTCACAGGCCTCCAAATCCACCGTCCAGGGCCTGCACCCAGAGGATGCCTTCCTGCCTGGAAGGGGGTCCCTGCCTTGGGTCTGCCTTGCATTCAGCTCTTGGCCTGGTCCCCGCTCTTCCAGCCCCCAAGCCTCCTTGGTAGGCTGGCCTGGGCCTTGGCCAGCTCTGCCTCCTCCCGCAGGGGTGAGACCTCCCCTTCCCTGCCTGTCCTCAGGCCTGGTGGGGACAGGAGGACCAGGTAGGCCGCAACCACACCCTGTGCGGTGCCTTCGTCTCCCCATCCAGCCTCCCATGCCCTCTCCCTCCTCAGAAAGGGCTGCGGGTGGGGTTAAGGGGTGGAAGATGCTGACGGGAAACAGGGCTGGAGCCCAGGGCTGCCACACCCAGATGCCCGCCTGGAGTGAGGCCAGGCTGGGCTTTGAGGAGTCTGGGGACCCCTACCCCACCCCCGTTCCCACCCCTCCCTCCGGGGTCCTGAGCTGAAGAAAGACTCTTTTTTTTGGGCCTGTGACCTCAGATTCTCAGCCCGGGCGGTGGGCCCAGCTCAATTGTCCTGGCTGGTTCCACTGGCCAGGGCACTGCCCAGCCCTGCCCCCATCAAAGGGCCCTTGAGCTCTGCGGCCAGCTCCCTGGTGGTCTTGCCACATGGCCTCCCGCTGGCAGGAGGACAGGACTCTCCTAGGATTCCCATGCCGTGGGGGCATGGAGGAGGTGGCTTCCAGCCAAGGAGCCCTGCATGCCTGGTCAGGCCTGCTGGCCTGCTGCAGGTCAGAGCAGAGGCCAACGCAAGCAGGGTGCGGGTCGGGCTGGGCTGCTAACTCGCACCCCACTCGGCTGTTCTTGGGGTGCAGTGCCTCCTCTGCACCCCGCAAGCAGGCCCTAGGCCCATCTGCTCTCAGTGTCTCCACTGTTCCTGGGCCTGATGCGGTCCCCGGCCATCCCCGCCGTCCTTAGACTGTCACCGCGTGCAGGGCCCGCTGGAGACCTTCTCGCTCGCTGCTGGCCTGAGCGCCAGGGCGAGGCCGGGAAGGATGTGGGTCTCCGGGACCTGGACCCTGCCGGCCCTGACGCCGGTTATTCCGTCCCTCGATTCCCCAGGTCCTGGCTGGGGATTCACTGCGCCGAGAAGGCGGGAAGCAGGGCGCCTGGCAAGGGCCGAGGCTGGCCCGGGTGCCCCTGCGTGCCCAGCACTGAGCTCCGTGACTCAGCCGCTGAGGCGCTCACCTGCCGCGGCGGGGCGAGGCCCTCGGGGCGGAGCCAGGGGCGGTGGGCGGGGCGAGCCGGGC